ATCTGTTTTACTTTAGGATAAAGGCTTTGGACTTGGGGATTGTTGATGTTTTTTTGGGGGGGGGGAAATATATATATATATATAAAACTTAATCCTAAGAGCTGTGATCTTCAAATGCCCTGAATTTCACCCAGACTTAGTAACAGATTCCATTTACCATCTCTCTTTTTATCCTTCATCTTTTAATTGACTTTGAGAGCTAAAAGCACTTTAGAATCTGGTTTGACACTTTTTACTCAGTGCCAAACAATGGTTAGTTTGAGGAATCAGCAAACCCACTGGAGTTTTTAAATATGGAAAATTTCTAAAGGAATTTACATTCTTTAAGATTCCCAGGACATTCAGATACTTCTTATTTTGGTACCATTGGTATAGAGGTCATCAATCGTCTACCTTTTTTTTTTTTTTTTTTTTTATAAAAACAACATCTTAGTGGTACCATAAAAAGGACCCACTTCAGTCTCCTTATCTGTAAGAAGCAGATGTTTGACCAGAAACCTCTTAGAGTTTTCCTGAAAACCTTCCATACCTTCAAAGAATTAGCCGCCCCCGAACCCCATCCGTACCTCCCAAGCTTCTCATGCGTTGTCAGACAGTATAATAAACAGGGAAAAGTCTGTAATGTAATACTAACAAATCTGAACATTTCACTAGCACTTTAGTTTTCAAGGCCTTTTCAAATACAGACACTGTAAAGAACGCTTGCTGACTCCATGCAAAACGGTATAGCAATTGAGCTTCCTTAATTTATCCATTTTAACAAATCACTACCTAATAATTATAGGAATAATGAATATTTGAAAGAAGAAACATTACCTGGTTCTCACTACCTGAAAATAACCATTATTATCATTTTAATAGATTACTTTCAAGTCCCTTTTCCGTATAGATTTTGTTTGAAGGAATGTAACTGTGACCCTGTTTTTTGTTGGCTGCTTTTTATGGAACATTTGAACATGAGTTTTCCCCACATTAGCTCTTGATGAGATGTAATTTCTAATGGCCTCATGTTTCCATAGAAGGTTTGTGTTTAGCACAAAATCTATCATGATTCATAACAGTTTCCAAGAGGGCTGTCTCCATAACCGAAATATCTGGTGAGCTTTTAAAAAATATTTACTGTTGTGAAATATAATAGAATGGTAGCCAGTAATGTTCATAAGATTGTAAATGTTCTGCTTAATGAACTGTAAAAGGAACAGTTGTGACAAGACATAGACTAATAGGGACTTCTTTGGCAGTCCAGTGGTCAAGACTTTATGCTCCCAATGCAGGGGGCCCTGGTTAGATCCTTGGTTGAGAAACCAGGATCCCACATGATGTGCAGCTCAGCCAAAAAAAAAAGATACAGACTATATCCACCGATCCATAAGCCTCCCCTAAACAACATGCTTCTTCCCAGCCATAATCTATTTCCCCCCTCCTCCTGTCCTTAACCACTACCCTGGTTTTTTGAGGCTTCACTTCTTTGCTTTTCTTTCAATTAAGTATTCCTAAGAACCCCTTTGGGGCTTCCCTGATGGCTCAGATGGTCAAGAATCTGCCTGCAGTGCAGGCCGGGAAGATGCCCTAGAGGAGGAAATGTCTGCCCACTCCAGTATTCTTGCCTGGAGAATCCCATGGATAGAGGAGCCTAGTGGGCGACAGTCCATGGGGTAGCAAAGAGTCGGACACGACCAAGCAACTTTCACTCGAGCACCCCTTCATGGATCACAGCCTTGCTGTGGCGAAGGGGCTTTTGTAACTCAATGAAGCTGTGAGCCACACAGGGCCACCCAGGATGGACCAGTCACAGTGGAGGGTTCTGACAAAATGTGGTTCACTCAAGGAGGAAATGGCAGCCAACTACGGTATTCTTGCCATGAGAACACTGTGACAGTATGAAAAGGCAAAAAGATACGACACTGGAATATGCGCCTCTCGGGTCCAAGGTGTCCAATGTGCTACTGGGGAAAATGGAGGACGACTACTATTAGCTCCAGAAAGAATGAAGTGGCTGGGCCAAAGTGGAACTGATGCCTCAGTTGTGGATGTATCTGGTGGTGAAAGTAAAGCCCAGTGCTGTCAAGAACAGTATTGCATAGGAACCTGGATTGTTAGGTCCATGAATCAAGGAAATTGGACATAGTCAAACAGGAGATGGCAAGAGTGAATATCGACAGTTTAGGAATCAGTGAATTAAAATGGACAGGGATGGGAGAATTTAATTCAGATGACCATTATATCTCTACTGTGGGCAAGAATCCCTTAGAAGAAATGGAGTAGCCCTCATAGTCAACAAGAGTCAAGCAGTGAAGTTTAATTTTGGGTGGGTTTAAGTTTTTTGCACACGGTGTGTTCTGTGTATCTGCTCATTCTGATTGTATCTCATTCATTCTGAACAGGATGTCTTTACCATTCATCAGTGTTGTCCTGTGATGCTCTGTAACACCCCTTGGGGCTGTCTCCAACCACCCACAAATAGTCCAGAAGATATTTCTAATCCATGGTGAATATATCTGGGGGAGGATTTGCTAGGTCCCTGGGAATGTGTCATTATTATATCTTTACTTTTACCTTTTTGCAAAGTGCTTCTATCTGTCCTCTTATATCCCTGTCAGGAAAGAATGAAAGTTCCTGTGGTCACATTTTTGTCAACACTTGGTATTGTCAGCATTTAAATTTTTGTTAGTATCACACTGTGGTTTTCGTTTGTGAAATCTCATTTCGTTTTTACTAATGAAGTTGAATTACCCTCCCTGCCTTCCTTCCTCCCCTCTCTTCCATTTAGATATCTTCTGTTATGAAATAATCATCTTGTAGAGTGCTGTTTTTCTGTACTTGATCATTTTTTTCCCCATTGATGTGTTCTTTGTTTTAGTTGTGAGCCCTTTGCTGTTTCTGTGTGTGGCAAATAATTTTTCCCACTTGCCTTTTTACTTTCTTAATGATGCCTTCTGAGGACCAGAAGTTCTCTCTCTCTTTCTTTGGCTGCACAGGGTCTTAGTTGCGGCACAGGGGATCTTAAGTTGGGGCATATGAACTCTTAGTTTCAGCATGTGAGACCCCGTTCCCTGACCAGGGATCAAACCCAGGCCCCCTGCATAGGGAGCACGGAGTCTTGGCCATAGACCACCATGGAAATCCCAGAGTCCTTTATCTAATGTAATGCAAGTTGTATTTCCCACTGTTAATGGCTAGTGTTTTGCATAGTGAGGTTTCCCAGTGAAAACGCTGAGTTGTAAAGTGTTGTTAAGGCTGTGGGTGTCTGTGTGTCAGAAGCAGGATTTGTTGAGGTTGGTGCCAGGTGTGTCCTGATGCCTGTGAGTAGAAATTCTGAAAGCTGAGCATCCTTCAGTGAAAAGTTCGGGCTGCTCTATAAAGACATTTCAAGGAGGTCATGACCTTGGGGAATGGACAGAGTCAGGACACACAAGAAAAGGCTGTTCGGGTAACTGCATACCCACCTCTGCCCTTTGAGTCTGTGCCCAGTGCTCCTTCATTCATTCAGTGTAGCCCCCAAGGCCCATGAAACACGGTGTAAAACAATGTCAGGTTACTGAGAAAACAAGTTTTGACTCTAAGAGTAACACTCACTACTATTGATAGGTTATCCTGTATAGTTCTCATCATTCCGCAGATCTGATCAGAGAAGGTAAGGGTTAGTCTGATGCCATTTTAATCTGGAAGTCTTTTACTTTATTTTTTTACTTTTGGCCACACCACATGGCATATGGGATCTAGTTCTCTGACCAGGGATCGAACCCATGCCCTCTGCAGTGAAAGCTCAGAGTCTGGACTGCCAGGGAATTCCTCTTTTACTTTTAACTTTTAATATTAACCATCTCTTACTCCTCTCCCCTTCAATAACTACCTTCAGTTTTTATTTTCTTCTTCCTCTTATTGTTGTTTATTATTTAGTTGTTTTTTAATTGATAGCAAAATATCCTGCTCCAGAGCTGGCCATTGTGGAAAGAGCCTACACTTCAAATGTGGGGGTTGCAGGTGTTCTTCTCTCCAGGAGCCTTCTGACACTCTGCAATCCACCCCGTGCAGCATGCATTGGCCTTCATGGTTTTGGGTGTCAGAGCCTACCTTAATGAAAATTGTGGAGGGAGAAGACGACCCCTAATCTTAAGTATACTCCCCCCTCCAAGGGACTTTGAACTCAGTTAAATCCTACAGAAATGGACCTCCCAGTCCATCAGAGAAGGAACTCAGCAGTGGTTCCAGTGGAGGGAGGTCCTCCCCAGATAACTTCCCTTCAGCCCATAGCATCTCCCTGGGGGATGGTCTGCTGATGAATGATGACAGAGTCCCTTCCTGACACCTGTCAAGATTTCATCCTCATTGAAGGGATTCGTTTTTTAAATTTGTGGATTTAAGGCAAGAAATCTTGGAGCCATGAGTTCCTTCCTCAAAACCATCCATCAAAACTCTTTCTGCTGACTCTTCTTATAAAAAGACATATTTATTTCGCTGCATCAGGTCTTGGATGCGGCATGTGGGTTCTTCCTTGCAGCGCCCAGGCTTAGTCTTTGCAGCACGGGGCTTAGTCCCTCCTTGGCATGTGGGATCTTAGCTCCCCAACTAGGAATTGAACATGCGTCCCCTGCATTAGAAGGCAGGTTCTTAACCACTGGACGACTAGGGAAGTCCCGCTGACCCTTTTAATCACTCGTTCTTCCAACTGAAATGAATCCCAGGCAGGAACGCCAGACAAGTCTTGCATCCTGGGACCCTCTTCTACAAGCACAGTTGTATTAGATGGTGTCAAGTTCGAAGGCCTGGGGCCACACAGAAACTGGTTTTTTGTTTTTTGCTGCACCAGGTCTTAGTTGCAGCATGCGGGATCTAGTTTGAACCCAGGCCCCCTGCAATGGGAGTGTGAAGTCTTAGCCACTGGACCACCAGGAAAGTTCTAGTTGTAGGAGTTTTGTGAGTTTATGACACTGGTGTTTGGCTTCCTCGCTTTCTCTGCCACATGTCAGCTAACGGCCCGTGCCCTCTGGCTTCTCCAGGTATGGCGTAAGTCCCGAGAACATCATCCTGTATGGTCAGAGCATTGGGACGGTCCCCACGGTAGACCTGGCCTCCAGGTATGAGTGTGCTGCTGTGATTCTCCATTCGCCACTGATGTCTGGATTGCGTGTGGCTTTTCCCGACACCAGGAAAACGTACTGCTTTGACGCCTTCCCCAGGTAAGCTCACTGCTGTACAGTAAGTAAGTACTAAGACGTCCAGTGACCCAACTTCAGATCAGAAGCCGTGGTTAATTGTGGGTAAACCTCTCCTGAATGCAGCCAGCCATCAGCCCCTGTGCTGGGCTCCTCGGGACGGGAGGTGGACGTGGCACATGCACGAAGGACCTAGTCCTCTGGGCCAGACTCATTTGTAAAAAAAGAAAAAAGAAAAAACCTGCCAGATGATGTCTAAGGACCTTGCTTGTCCCGACATCCAGGATTAATTGGTTCAGCTGGATGTACAGGATTAAAAAAAACAGAAAACAAGTGCACACATGTCTTAAAGGAACTTCTAGTACAGTGTTCATTTGTTCACTCAGATGGACATGTATTGTTGAGTCACAAGAACTAAATCAGAGGTCTAGATACTCACATAGGTCTTCCCTGATAGCTCAGGCTTCCATCCCTGGGTTGAGAAGATTCCCTGGAGAAGGAAATAGCAATCCTTTCCAGTATCCTTGCCTGGGAAGTTCCATGGACAGAGGAGCCTGGTGGGGCTACAGTCCGTGGGGTTGCAAAAGAGTCAGACACGACTTAGTGACCAAATAACAACAAATACTCATATAAAAACTGTAAGCATCCCCAAGTTTGAAATTTCTCTTATGTTTTTGGTCAGACCACTAGGTAAGAGAAAAAGTGAGGTAAGCTATGCCGATGATGGGCATCAGGGACAGTGTGAGTCCTCCACACAGCCCTAGACACCTCCTGCTGCCCACCTGTGCCTGAAGCCCCCCTCCCCTGCATGAGAGCCCATGGCCAGACCCCTCCTGCCAGCACCCCAGGGGCAGCAGAGCTCCTGCCAGCCTGGCCCCTGCTGTTTTCCAGTCAACGGGTAGCTATATTATACAAGCGAAAGCAGTGAGCACATTGCCTTCTTGAACACCTCTCTTTGGAAACCAGTGCTTTTTTTAAACAAAAATCTAAGCTGAGGAAGGGCTTCACTGGTGACTCAGATGGTAAAGAATCCACCTGCAGTATAGGAGACTTGGGTTCAATCCCTGGGTTGGGAAGATTCCCTGGAGGAGGGCATGGCTTCCCACTCCATGATTCTTGCCTGGAGAATCCGCATGGACAGAGGATCCTGGCGGGCTACAGTTCATGGGGTCGCAAAGAGTCAGACATGACTGAGCAACTAAGCACAAGCTAAGGAAAGTATTTAATAAAGATTATTTGCCCAGGGTACATCCAAAATTCTGACAGCAGGACACCCATGGCCTTGTTATAGAAAACCTCAACAGAAGTATGTACAGTTTTTGGATTTTGATCAACACCTTCATTGCTGTCATTCTGTTATTATTGGGAATGAGGGTGGGGGGAGGATCATTTGGTTGCATAAACATCTGTTCCACAGATGGACTTGTTTCCCAAGAAGAAACTTTCTCCACACCTTGGGTGAACTCTGTGCAGCCTGTATGAGGTTCAGCTTCATGGGAAAGTTAAGCAAGCTGCAAATTTCCAGTGGCATGGCTGAGAATGCTAAGCAGGAACCCTGTGCATCTCAAATGTGGCCTTATTTGTGCTGAATGGGTAATGAGAGGCCCATTTATTGAAAGGGAGATATTTAGCGTGTTTGTGGAAAGCCATGCAAGGGGTTACCCTGGCAACAAAACAAATAGGTTTCCCCCTGACTCTTAAATTAGTAGATACCTTAAAATACAACCACAACAACTAATTGCAGCTTATTAATTAATAGGAAACCAGCATGCTACTCTTACTGGGTTTGAGTGATCTGCCAGGCATGGGCTAATCATTTCATGCTCCTTATCTTGAAAGACTCATTTTACAGTGAGGAAACTGAGGCTGAGAAAGTTAAGTGGTTTAAGCAGCTTCATTAAGGTGGGTGAATGGAAATAGGCAGAAAAGGCCATTCTTCCTGTTCAGTACCATAAAGTATTAAAATGAGAGACTTCAAACCATTAGTAGTCACATGAGCTGTCATCACTAGAATGTGATGATTCTAGAATGAACTTGAGGAATGTTTCCTTAGGGTGTTTATTGCTACCAAATGCACACTTGTTTCTCTGTCCCTCTCTTTAAAGGAAGGCACTTTCCCATTTCTTTTTTAATACCGAAGAATAGAGATAAGGGACTTCCCTGGTGGTCCAGTGGTTAGAGACTCCAAGCTTCAATCGCTGGTTGGGGAACTGTTATAGGATCACACATGCCATACAACTCGGCCAACTATGCATATATTTATAACTTATATAATATATATATATAGAGAGAGAGAGATAAGTAATCCTAATCATTGCTTGGTTGGTGGTTTATTCTCTCTTGCAAAAAAGTGAAAGTGTTAGTCGCTCAGTTGTCTCTGACTCTTTGCAACTCCATGGACTGTTTGTAGCCCACCAGGCTCCTCTGTCCTTGGGGTTTTCTATACAAGAATACTGGAGTGGGTTGCCAGTCCCTTCTCCAGGGGATCTTCCCGATCCATGGATCAAACCTGAGTTTCCTGCATTACAGGCAGATTCTTTACTGTCTAAGCCACCAGGGAAGCCCTTATTCTCTCTTACCTCCTTTATATTTAGAATCAAGATGGTGGCATTTAACTTCAAATACACCTACCAGGCTGTAGAGAGCCCCCTAAATCATGCAGCGTGGAACTGTCAGCAAATAGATTTTTAATGGAATATAATTGGACTTTTGCATTCTGAGAAGAAGTCACTTTAAAAATTAAATATAAGAGGATAATAGATTTCTAAACAAGATTCCTAATCTGCCAAATTGACTCCTGCCACAGTAGCCCTGATCTTGGCAAATGACATGGCCAGTAAGATCTTGCATTCTTCCTGGACGTTGTGAGGTGGTTGGCAGCTTCATGAACTGTTACCAAGGCTCCGTGACAGCTGTTTGTAGCTCTTTGGAATGTGTGATGGATGTCAGAGTCCTGTCCTAGCTCCACAGCCCCATGCCTGTTCTTTAATAATCTTCTCCAAGTTTCAGGCCCTCCATGGTTTAACAGAGACAGTCCCTCCTCTTTAACTGTGTCTCCTTGAAGATGAACATTTCATATGTCAAGTGCAGAGCACCTGGTTGCGGTCCATGTTGAATAAATGTTTGTTGATGTTTAGTTGCTCAGGCCTGTCTGACTCTTTGTGATCCCATGGATTGTAGCCCACCAGGCTCCTCTGTCCATGGGATTTCCCAGGTAAGAATACTGGAGTGGGTTGCCATGCCCTTCCCCAGGGAATCTTCCCAACCCAGGGATGGAACCCAAGTCTCCTGCATTGGCAGGTGGATTCTTTACCACTGAGCCACCAGGTAAGCCCTGAATAAATGTTAGTCATGACATAACAAAATGACCCCTGTGGGTAGAACCAAATTGATCCTTCTGTAACTTTGGCTAGGATCAGATACAGAAAGTCAGCAGTAAGGCGTCTCTGGTAGGAGGTCAAACTGCACAGAGGGTCACCTCTCTATGTGTTAGTAGGGGAAATGACAGTGACCTCCAGCAGAGAAGTCACCAACGCACCCAGCCTAACAAGCCTTACTAACTTCTCAGTTCCTCTTTGGGAAATGCTTTCAGAGCCTATAGTTTGTTCTTTTGGAGATCCTCAAATATTCATCCTCTTTGGGTAGATTGGGCTTCCCAGGTGGTGCAGTGGTAAAGAATATCCCTGCCAATTCAGGAGATGCAAGAGGCGTGGGTTCAATACCTGGGTCAGGAAGATCCCCTGGAATAGAAAATGGCAACCCATTCCAGTATTCTTGCCTGAAAGATTCTATGGACTAGAGGACCCTGGCGGGCTAAAGTTCATGGGCTCACTGAATTTTGGGACTTCCCTGGTGGGTAGATTTGATTTTTGTAAATAGAATTCATTCAGGATCCAATCTAGGCATACATTAAATTTCCAAGCTAAATAGTACAGTTTTTATTTAAGGATGAGGTTTTCGTTTATATGAAATGAGTCTTCTGATGACCTTGCTAATCAGTGCTGAAGATGGCTTACACACAGAGAGAGTCCTGAAAACTTGAGTGGCTGCATGTTTAGTGCCCTGCCTTCAAGAGGCATTCATTCGAGTATGTTAAGTTCTAGCTTGTTTATTTTTTTTAAAAAATCCTCTCTCTGAAATATGAATGTATCAGAAATATTATTTACTGGATGGGTAGTCAGATGACATTTAGGAGTTCTGTTTTTAATAAAATACTTTTACAAAAACACAATGGCTAACGGCATTGTGGTATTCTCAGTTGGATCCTGGAACAGAAATAGGACTTCAGTGGAAAAGTTCATAAAATTCAAATAAAGTCTGGAGTTTAGTAACATACCAATGCTGGTTTTTTGGTTTGGACAAACGGACTACAATTATGTGCATTGTTGGCCTTATGGGAAGGGGGTTAGGAGTAGATAGGAGCACTGTTTTATCTTTGTACCTTTCCTGTAAATCAAGAATTATTGTGAAATGCAAAGTTAATTTTTTAAAAAAATGAACTACTAGAAAAGTGAGGAGAAATTCCTCCAGGGCATGTGCCTTGCTTGCCTAGGATGCTGACTCAGTTACATTGAGTGTGAAGTCTGTGATCCTTCTTTTTTCTCCCCCTTTCCTGTCTTGAAGTATTGACAAGATCTCCAAAGTCACCTCTCCTGTGTTGGTCATTCACGGCACAGAGGACGAGGTCATCGACTTCTCCCACGGCCTGGCCATGTACGAGCGCTGTCCCCGGGCCGTGGAGCCGCTCTGGGTCGAAGGGGCCGGGCATAATGACATAGAGCTTTACGCACAATACCTAGAGAGACTAAAACAGTTCATTTCTCACGAACTTCCCAATTCCTGAAGACGACGACTTGATCTTACCTCATTGACTGTGAACACGAGTCCTCCGTTTTACACATGCTTTCCCTGGACAGCGGTCATGGCGTGATCACCACAAGGAAGCACGCAGCTTTTCGGGTATCCTCATCAGAGAGCCGAGGACTTCTCAGTCTTTCGTATCCACAGGTTCTACCAACTCACACATCATGTCAAACCGAACAGTTGTGACTTCCAGCTTCATTGCCTTGCAGGGCGGGAATGAGAGCTGAGTGGGGGAACCACTTTCTTGTTCTGTAAAAAAGGTTGCTCACACCCCTTTCTCCACCTTACCCATCATGTAGGATGCATTAATGCAGGACTCAACCTCTTTCTACCCGTGTTCTCAGTATTTGACCTGCAGCTCTCTTTCAGCCACTGGATTCATGGGTTCAGTCCATTTGTGAAGCTGTGATAGTTTAACTGGAAACAATTGTGATGAAAATTCCTTCGTTCATTTTTATTAACATGCTGATCTTTTCCCCCAAACAAATCAATTAAAGGGTAATTTACTGGAACTATGGTAAATGGCTTCATCAACTGGAACCATATAAATATAACTGGAATATTCTTAAACAAAATGAAACTTTTTTTTTAAGTGTAAATTTATTACTACTAGCCCACAGAGTTTTAATATTTTGATCGTCTGGTTGGTCTAACAAAGAACCTAGCCAACTTTCCTCCTTGTAGGCTTTTTTAAAAGTACTGTACATATTTGCAATCACATTGTGCATAGATTCCTATTGAGTAATTTTCTTCTGTCAGGCCACAAAAATGAACTGCAGATTCCTTGTTTGTAATGTAAATGATTGAATACATTTTGTTAATATGTTTTTATTCCTATGTTTTGCTATTAAAAAAATTTTATAACATTTCCAAGACAAAAAAAAAAGACAAGTTTATGCTTTGAAAAATTTATGTAATTAAAATTTCACGAAACTAATCTTTTTAGTTTAGGAGTTATTTGGATTTTGACACTGGGGTTGCACCAACAGCATCAGAAATGTAAGATGCTTAAAATTGTTACACTACTTCTGTTGATTGGGGGTTTGGGTTTGAGAGTTCTTTGGTTTTATTAAAAAAGCATTTCTTTTTTTTTTTTTCCAAATTTAAAAGCCTTAAATGTACTGTAAGCCTCCGATTGTTGTACAGCTGGGTTGCGGGTGACTGCCAGTTTGTGTAGTGTTGCCTGGATGCAACACAGTGGTTGGTCATGGAATAAAGGATGCATGGATCTGAAAGCATGGACTCGTGCCATTTATTCCTTCCTCTCTCCTTCAAAGGAAGCATTTTGTCTGGATTTAAGAAGAAACCCTTGGGGTACTCTTTTAACCCCCTTCTGATGTCTATGTCAGAAGCTGTCTCTATCTCCTTTATACTTTAATAAAACTTTATTACACAAAAGTTCTGAGCAATCAAGCCTCATCTCTGGCCTCGAATTGAATTCTTCTCCTCCGCAGGCCAAGAATCCTGGCATCTTTTCGAGGTTAAGCAACAACCTTTCACCTTGGGGGCTCCTCCGGGATTCTTCAGGACAAGATGGGTGCTAACAATTCCAGCCTCACTCCTTTGAACTATATCCTGAAAAACTGGGATAGATTTGATCCCCGGGGCTTAAAGAAGACACACCTGATCTTCCTTTGTGATACTGCATGGCCACAGTACCCACTGGGGGATGGCAAATGGTGGCCAGTTGGAGGGTCTCTTAAGTATAATAACTGTTTTACAATTAGACCAGTTCTTTTAGAAAACAAGGGAAATGGATAGAAGTAGCATATGTGTTGCCCTTTTTCTCTCTGCAAAATATGTCAGACTTATGTCCTAAGGGTATAGATTTGGGTGTGACTCCTTGAGCTCCCTCCTATCCTCCTACTTTGCTAGATGAGATGGAGGACAGGAGACAAGAGATAAAAAAAAAAAGCAGGTTTCTCCAGTCTATCCCTGGGATCATATGCGCAGAGCAGCCAAAGAGACTGTGGAACAGCCACACAAGTTGTTGTCTCTTCATGAAGCACCCACGGGGAGAAATAATCAGTCTATGAGGGTTAATAAGCCTTTTTCTTATCAAGAAATACAAAGAATCAAGGGGAATCTGGGAGACTATTTAGAGGACCCAGAGAAATATATCAGAGATTTTAAAGGTGTCAATCTGCTGTATGACCTTACTTGGAAGGATGTGATGTATATCTTGGGACAAACACTGACTCCTGACTCAAAGACTGAGTTTTGGGAAAAGCGGTTGCTTATGGAGATGAATGGTTTGGTAATGAATCAGTAGGGAAGAGGGAGGACAAGATAACCGCCCTCCCCACTGGGAATCAGGCGGTCCCAACTACAGAACCAGACTGGGACTACAACACAGCTAAAGGAAGATGGGATCAGAGTCATTTTGTCAGATGTATTCTTGAAGGACTCAGGCAGGCGCATGCTAAGCTTTTAAACTATGGTAAATTGGCAAACATACAACAAGAGAAGGGAACTCCTGGTAAATTCCTAGATAGACTGAGAGAAGCCCTTCGCAAGCTATTAAAACGGGCATATGGACCAAATCAGTCTTTAGGTAATCTGTTACAACTGGCTCAGACAGTCTATTATGGTAGGGAATATGAGGAAAAGAAAGAAAGGCAGGAAAAGACAAAGGAACAGGGAGAAGCCCTCGCAATGGCTATGAAAACCATTCTTAAACAGCCTGAGAAAAATGCCCAGAGGGACCCAGGTGAAAAGGGATGGGCTTGATATTACTGTGCAAAAGAGGAGCACCTCAAGTGGGATTGCCCTCAGGCATCTAAGCCGCCCCCAGCTCCATGTCCAGTCTTCAAAGGACCACACTGGAAGAGAGACTGCCCCCAGAGGGGTAGGTTTCAGGGGTCAGACTCTCAAGACAGTCAAGACTGAAAGTGCCTGGGGGTCCGCACACAAGCTCCCATCCTAATTACACCTGAGGAACCACGGATATTGATAGCTGTGGGGGGCCAATCTGTCGATTTCATTTTAGATACTGGTGCAATTGCAATTTACTACGCGCTTACTGAAGCCCCTGGCCCACCTTCTTCCCGATCCGTTTCCGTAATGGGACTGTCTGGATGAGCTAAAAGATGGGCCAGATAATCTATGTGAGCCTACTTCTGCTGACTCCAAAAACTGAGTCTGCTGTTTGATCCTCAAGACAATGCCTTCCTGTCCTGGGCTTACTCCTACACTGTATTTCATAATCAGTCTAACTGCTGGGTCTGTGGAGCACCCCCCTCTTCATCAGTGAAAGGCTTCCCATGGTGGACAACTCCACTTCAAGGAAAAGACTTTCTTCAAATCTGCAAACACCTTCGACAACAATTGCATGTGATTCCTCTTCTTAAACTGATGACATGTAACAACCCTAAGATGGACTGATGTAACTATGGACATAATGTGACTTTTCATTTTGATTTTTACTTGGTTTAATGACTATTTTGCCTTACATTTGTAACTATATAATGGGGTTTTCTAACTGTCTAAAAGCTTTTTACAAAAGGTTGTCCAAACTCCTACAAGTGCCACAGCCTCCTCCAACTATTACTTGGGGCCCCAGGATCAGAGACCCTCAATATGAGGGTTAGGAGAATATGTTGCCTCAACAATTTAGGGACCACACCCTTAAACAACAGGAAGTAGTTATGGAATGAAAATGATGCCCCTTTCCCTTGGCAACATAATTCTTCTGAAAGAAAAGGGGGGAATGAGAGAGTCATTTCCTAGGTAGGTTGATAAGAAGTCTAAGGGTCCCCAAGGAGAGAGGGGTCTGGAATTCTCAAGGAGGAAGAAAGGGCAAATTTTTTTTTTTTTTCTCTCTACATTCCTTAGGTTTATATAACAATAATGTATCCTGCCTGAGGACAGTCTCTGGATTAAACCTGGCTAATCCTGTTATCTTAAAATGTAAATTATGAGAGTAGGTCTGTTGAGGTCTTTACAACCTCCAGACATTCTTTGGATTCATTGGAGAGTATATAACTCCATTGCTAACACTAGCAAGTGGGTACTCTTTCTGTTCCCTTCTGATGTCTATGTCAGAAGCTCTCTCTATCTCCTTTATACTTTAATAAAACTTTATTACCTCGTCTCTGGCCCTGGATTGAATTCTTCTCCTCTGGAGGCCAAGGATCCTGGCATCTTTTAGAGGTTCAACAACAACCTTTCAGTGGGTTGTTTTTTTTTTTTTAGGATTGTGGGAGGGTATAGCATAATGATGATTGCCAAAAGACAAGAACACTGGGGTGCAAATTGCCATCAGAAGAGGTAATAAAGAACATCAGTTTCTCTGAACCTAGATTTCTTCTGTGTCTCTAGCAATAATAACCAGATATTTTGAAAGTAAATAAGTGAAAAAGACGTTTGATAAATACCTTAGGAATATTATTTTTTCTAACATCATTGAGATTTAATTATAAATAAAAATTATATATATTTAAAAAAGAAGAAGAAGAAGAAGAAACCCTTGCAACTTACACACGACTGTGCCTTTCTCAAGGTGTATGCTTTTGTTCTGTGAAGGACTGTAGATTAATTTCAGAGAAACCAAGATAAGAAGCACATAGTGGTAACATGCAGTTACCACCGAGTCCAAATAGAGAATTCAGTGGGTTTTGGCTATGAAACGAGGGATGAAGGCAATCTCACTGGGACCTGGCTTGGACTGAGAACAGGCCTGTTTCTTGGGAACACCTGAGCTGAGTCTTTTTGATCACTGACCAGAAAAAAAACAACTGAGAGATGTTTGTTTGCAGAGGATTATACTTCCTGGGGAGAGAAATGATGGAAGAGGGCACAGGGCCGTGCTCCCGTGCATATGTGTCCTAGCACCTTGCAAGCTACTCCTTGGCCTTAGATCAGTACCTAAAATGGGGGGCCTTGGAAGGAAGGGGCCCCACTCACCTTATGATGCATCAGCGAAGTTCCAGAGGTGGTATTGTCCCAGAGGTCTAGGTGACCTTGAATGGAAACACATCC